TGGAGTGATACCAATTAAAAAAAAATATTATAATAATAATAGTAATAATATATTTGTTATTATTTATTTTATGATATTAAAACATGTTAAAAATCGCTACATAATGGCAATTATGTTTCAACACTACAAATGTGTCTCCTTGGACAATGTTAAACTACTGGCTAGTGAAAATTAATTTCATTTCAAAAGCAGAATACTTTAAAAAAAAAAAAAAAGGCTTGTGGGCTTTGCCATGATTAACCAATCAAATGTGACCTACACTAAATTCAAATTTACTGGAAAAAATTTTTAAATGTAGGTCATGACACAAAGTTGTCTGCATATAAATCCTAGACAATTTCCTTATGGGCAGATACAAGCTGTTATATTATTTCTTAAGATGTTTCAAAGTCTGAAGTTCAACTTTCCTAAGAAGTAAAAGTGAAAGAGGTGGGGGGGGAGGGTAATTTAACATAATGCTAACTAGCTATATGATCGGTCAGCTTCTTACATAAAAATGTAAGAAACACTCTAGATCAAGGGTTGGCAACCTACAGCCCATGGGCCGGATCCGGCCCGCGGGCTGGATCCGGCCCGTGAGCCTGATTACCAATGACTCTTTTTAACATGAGAGACGAGGCTTTCGAATTACACTATCTGCCAGTTATCTTTCATAAGACTTATTTTACCAAGTCGCGTTGCCTACGTTTAATGTCAAATAATGGATACATATTTGTTATGACCCTTGGCTACATTAAAAGATAACAGAAGCGAAAGGAACGATAAAGTGAAAGAGGCCAGGGAGGGACTGACATGCGAGGTAGCAGAAATCTAAAGATAGTTAAACATATGTGCATTATACATACATGCCTCATGAATGTGTGGATGATACCGCATATGTACGTACGTAAGTGTATATGTTTGCAACTATTTGTACCCGTATGTATGGCTATATGTGCTTCGCTTGATGTGTGTGTGTGTGTGTGTGTGTGTGTGTGTGTGTGTGTGTGTGGTTCGTTTGTGGAACAATTTTCAATAACAGTTTCAAACCTACACGTCATAATATCATCCATTTCACTTCGGTTGATTTTTTTCACTTTGAAGTATTTTGACGTTCCTTGAGGAAAAGTAATTTTTGTTAGGTGTTTTTTAATTTTAGATTTTCATTTGTTTTTCTGATTTCTCAATGTTTATTTTCATTATGGTTTTAAATATTTAGGATGACAGGGGTCTACATATGTAATTTTCCTTAATTTTTCATTAATGGCCTTCGTCCGACCCGCGACCAGTCATTATAACACGATCCGGCCCGCGGGATCAAATGAGTTGCTGACCCCTGCTCTAGATGATAAATAATGAGCCCTCTTAAATTAAATGTTACGTACAGTAGAATTATACTCCATTTGTTCTCATTTTACCTGAAATATATATATTGCTCTCCTGGACTCCAAGAGAGCATCACACTATGCCTTCTTGGCTTCACTGACATGAAGTGGAGTAACTACATTGAATAAATGGCTGCATTCATCGCAAGAAAAGTTGGGTCAATGTGTCATACCAGAAATTTTTTTCTTACCAGAATCCATCTTGCACATCTACAAATAATTTACTATGCATTGCATCCATGCATTGAATATTGTTGCCATATCCAGTCTGCTGCTTCTGCAAGTACATCTAGTGATTCTTGACAAAATCCAAAGGATCTGTAATTTAATTGATCTTGACCAGGCATATAGCCTTCAGTCACTTTCTCAATGATATGGTGTGGCTTTCCTCTGCCTTTTCTACAAATATTTTCATGGCAACAGCTCTGACAAGTTTTTTTCTCTGATGTCCTGACTACATGAATTTAGGTATGCTACTCGATTGGAATCTAGGTCCCAACCTTTTAATTTTGAAATAGCTAAATGCAACTGCCAATACTACTCAAACAGTTTCTTTTCTTGTACTTCCAACCTGTGGAATTCTTTACTGTCTCCTTGCTTCCCTGATAACTACAATCTTCAAAATTTTATATGCAATGCCAATCACCATCATTAATCGTCTTCTTGAACCCTGCTCATCTTTTGTTCTTTCCTCAATCCTCTCTATACTCAGTCTTCTCTTTTACTCCATATAATCCTCTGCATAACAGTGGCATTACCGTCTTGCTTAGTGTGAAATGATTAAAAAAAAATTAAAAATGAGAGAGAGTATTATATGTGTGTTTCTCCAGTTACTAACAGAATAGTGCTATTATGTGTATATACAATTTTTTTTAATACTGTGGATGTTGGCAATCAAGGCTCACTATAGATTCTGCTACTTTTATAATCAGTGAAATGAAATGCATTCTTGGGGAAATATAGTGGAATTGTTTCCATGTTTCCTTCTCCATGGTTTTGAATTCAAAGTCATACTTCCCTTAGAGTGGCTGCCACACAAGGATAGAGATCCCAGTCTACCCTGCTATTTAACCCATAGATGGGGAGGTGAAGAGATTTTACACATATAAAATTAATAAATGAAAAGAATAAAAATAAATATATTAGGCTAAAAAGAAATAGGAGATATCAAGAAATAAAAAAATCAGAGACACTCTAGAAACAGACATTTCTATGTTTTTGTTAAGCAATGGTTAATGAGCCTAGTCCTATTTACAAAGTGTAATGATTATTAAAAAAATTAGGGCAAAGAGGGATGGTAAAGAGGTAAAAGTTACTTAGAGCAACAAAACACAGGAAGTTGTGGAGAGCTATGGTTGTCCAAGTCATGAAAGAACATGGCACAAAAGAATAGTTATATATACAAACAAGTAGAATAACAGTATAGTTTTAAAATGTACTTGTCAACAAAAGTTTCCAATATTATATTCTATTTTCTTTATTAACAAAGTAAAGAACAAAATTTAAATAGAAAAACAAATTTTTAACTAAGTAATAGAAATTACAAAATTGAAGTTGTTTCACTACAACTTACTTGTTTTGACATACAAATTCATAATCTACATGCTAGGGAAAAAAAAGAAGAAAAAAATGAAAAACTAATTTGCTTAATGACCAACAATAGAAAAAATAAATAAAACTCCTGCCAAAAGAATATTTCCATAACAGCTGCACTGATGTTTATATTCAAACATCTGTGGAAATTAGCAATTACAAACAAATTGAAGATTGTCAATGATATTTGCACTTGGCTATAAGGATCACACATTCAACATTGATAAAATCTATATTCCAGTTTATAATAATGGCTTGACAATATAAGTACTCAAATTAAAAGGAAGTTTTCATTATAACAGTTAATTTGAATGATCACAACTCCCAAGGTCAAAGCAAAAACAAAAGAATTACTCTTAGTTCATTATTAGTAAGTGGCAGGCACAAATAACTCGATAAAATTCATAGCTGTATTTAAGATTAGATGCAGATATAAGTTATTAAATATAAATAGGAGTGTAGTAGTTATTGGTTAGTGCTACCACTAATTAGCATATGTGTATAAGTAGGTAGATGTTAGGTATAGGCTTGCTACATAAGGTAGTGGCAATGGTACTTGAAATGTAGAATCAATACTGACTGCCCTCAACTGCTACTTGGAATATCATAACAATAAGTAAGGTTATTACATGCAGATATAAATATAAGGGCTCATACTATGTTTAGAGTCTGTTTTAGATAATTCAGGGGTTTGTGTTTGAACACAAAAGCAAGGATTTTGAATACTTATTTTCAAGGTAGGTAAGTCCTACCGACTTGGAAAGTCTGATGTTATACAATCTTCTGCATTTCCTTTGTCCAATGCAAAATCACGCTTAGTAAATATATACTACATTATGGGGTGCTGAAAAATCCTTGATCCAAGCCACTTCCCAAAATCTGATCAAAAGAACCAACCTCAGAATTTTTAAAGTGATTTTTGGCAAGGACAAGAACTTTTCATCACTCCTATATATATATATATATATATATATATGTTAAAATGGATTAAGGCCAACAATTTTTTAACATATTTTCTGTTTATACATTATCTTAATAGATACAATTTAAGTAAATGCTCTGTTTTTTTGAATAAACAGTATTAATGATTTCTGTAAATAAATTCAATTTTATTATGAAGCCCCCTGAAAAGTAGATGTAATCTCTACAAGAGTTAGAGTAGACAGATAAGTGAACATTTAACTTTATTTTTAATTTTATTGGTTACTGTGTGTGCGTGTGTGCACACACCTATTACCCATTATAATTTATTGTGTGAAAATACTGAAAACGTTAAAATAATGCTAGCATTTATTTATACATGAATTAGCATTTCTGCTTAAGATTGAAGTAATTGTTTGCTCTGCTTAGTATCTGGGCACTCTGAATAATGTTACATACAAAAAATACACATACAAATAAACACTGCATTTTACTAATGAGGATCTACAATGTTATATAAATGAAAGATCATATATAGAGGTACATGGTGATAGAGTGGTTGTCAGCACGGAAGATGGAATCAACAAATCAAGTTCAGATTCTAGTTCAGGGAGTTCATATTGCACACTGAACTTTAGAAAGGCTTGAATCCAATAAGTTAGGTTGGGGATTACTCCCTGCTGCCTGAATCCCATCTATGGGCAATCAGTCTTTCAAACCTTGCAAGATATCCCAGGTAATGAAAGGCTACTTTAATAAAAATCCTAGTTTAGCAGTTGTCTTAACCATCTTGGGTCACCAAGCTATCAAGTGACACTCTAAGCCTCAAGAGTGAATTCAGTGAACATGAGCTGATCTCCACTCTACATAAACTGGAGTAGGGAGAGAAGAAGAAATTTGCAATAGATAGAGCATTCACTTACATTCCTTGCAAGCATGCAATAAAGCACTTTATATGAGGTGGCACTAAAAATTTCTGGGTCTAAGAAGGGATTCTAAAAATAAAATCTGATGCTTAGTCAGAATTTGAAATTTCAAGAATATATTTAAATAATACATGTCATCTTATAAACCATGTTGAGGTACTAAAATCAGATAAAATGAATTGTAATCTCCACTTACCCATGGCACCTTCAAAACATTTTATTGCTGCACCAGAAGCTGTTTCCAGTTGGATTACATTCACACCATTTTCCAGGATCTACAAAGAAAAAATGAATGTAACAAGGTTGAACAATAATTTGACATGATAAAATTATTGAATAATAATTGAATTAAACAAAATTAATGAAGTAGAGATTGTAAGAAAGTACCAAAGGTAAAGATAAAATCTTACTTTGTTATTAACAATGATTTCCATATGAAGTTGTTTTTCTTTCACCACTCTTTTCATAGCCTCCATGTTAATCCATAAGTTGTTGGTGTTAAAAATCCTTTTCAAAATAATTTTTTTAAAATATTAATCAATAAATTATAAAATAAAGCTTAAATTAAGAAATAAAAGAACATCAACAGAACGTTAAAATAAATGTTCAATAAATGATAATTTCTCAGAAATGATCAAACTAAGTCAAAAAGAAGAATGTGTGTTCTAATTTAAAATGACAGCCATAATTGCTTAGGTATCAAATATGTTCAAATACCATGTCTCTTTTTAGTATCTATTTTATGTTGATTTCAGACCTATGACAGTTATATTCAGATCATTATCTTCAATAACTATTTTATGTTGATTCCTGGTCTATGACAGTTGTACTGAGATCACATAAAATAGTTACTGTAGAAAGCTATCATTCAATGATTATTATAGCCCTCAGATCAATAAATAAAGGTATTTGGCACTTTCCATAAGAATATTTCAGGCATCAAGGATTAACACTACTCCTGTGCAATGGAGGGGTAATGCTTACAGAAAGACCCCCAGAGCTGAGATGTTATACTTTATATTATTCAATCATATTCACAGCAATTTATAAACGTATATAAAATGTATGTATACAAATTTTTATATTTGTAGGTAAATGCTCTCATTACTACAAATGTTTTCTACTTCAATGTTTATGCATATGAAAAATGTATTAAATTATATTATCATAAAGAAATTCTTTGATAATATAAAGTCTTCTTCAGAGAATCTAACTAACAAAGGTATTCTTGTCATCTGCATGAAAAGCACAAATCAAAGAAAACTTTAGAAGGATAAAAAAATCTATCAGATTCCTACTCTATTTCTTTGCATAACTTTTATGAACTCCTCCCAAACACCATACTTTAACCTCAAAATTCTTTAATTTTCAGTACAAAAATAAAAAGACCTGTTGCAGCATACAGAAACGTTTGTATATTGTTTTTAAATGAGAATCTTTAGTAAGCTTTTGATGTGAGTCACTTTCTTTTGTTGTTTCAAGTGGATAAATTTATCAAAGGTTTCAAATTTGTATGGCAATACAAACCGCCATTGTGTAAGATCTCTGCCAGAACAGATAACCACTAGATTTCACTCTAGAGTAAATACATGTTGGTCAACAAAACAAGAGAAAAAAAAAAGACTGACAAGTAAACATCGTACATCAAAGTTCAATTATAGTTAAATGATACAGTTATTCAATTTTATATAGGTGGATACAAAATACAATCCTGCAGACAGTACATGTGATTAAAAAGAAAAAGACTGCAGAAACATTAGTAAAATTATATATAAATAGTCTTCCTAAGAATTCACAAACTTTCGAGAATGGCATTTGCTTTTTGAGTCACTTCAATGACAAACAGAATTACATAGAATTAAGTATCATAATATGAGCATGCCCCCCTCGCAAGAACTTCAGCTTGTAAGTTAATCTTGTCAGTGAAAAGGGCAGGAAATAGAATAGGTAAAAGAATTGCTTAATGATCACTAACCACAGAATTTCCAGTAAACATAAAAATAAATAAAAGACAAAAGGGTATATATATATATATATATATATATATATATATATATATATAAATGCAAGTGCTAATTTCAAGAATTAGATATTTTCAAACGTTTACTCAATCTGTTCTTATGCAACATAGCATTGTGTAACTGTGACATTACCAATTTCAATTATAAAGTACAGAAATAAAGAGACACAAAACAAAAACAATCCATACAAGTGGTGTCCAACAAAAAAAAAAAAAATTGAAAACAAAGTATATTCTTTTGTACAGCAAAGATAACCTAAACCAATACAACAAATTATATATAAGCATATACCCAAGTCCTTAGAATGTTCACTTTCTGACCATGAGAGCAGAGTTTGAATCTCATCATGGTCAATTTGTAAGGAAGGTGACTTCTTGATGTTATTGGTCAGAGGAGGTGATTCCAGTGAGTAGCACCTTTGGGAAGCGTCTGAAAATCATACTGCAGACTAATCCAAGAATTGTAAGTGAAATTGGGTAGACAGAACTGTTTGAAGGCTGTTGATGATTGTGCTAGCACAAAGTCACAAGTTACCATGACCAAGGGTTTGAGTGTACTGGCCTTGTTCTGATTGTTGATCATGACAGATAATGCACTCTCTTCCAGAAACTGTAGCTAAGGTCCACTCAGCATAGTTGCAGTATAAACCACAGGAGGGGAACAAACACACTGTGACAGGGATTGGCTAGTCACCCTAGCATATGTTTGTGCTCCAAAAAGTAAGAGTAACTGGCCATTATATGTATGTATGTATGTATGAAGGGGCATGGGAAAATTCTCAATCAGACCAAGAAGGGATTTTAAAAAATTCTTATCAATTGGGAAGATCTTGCAAAGTAGATTAAATAGAGAACTTTTTAACACACAAGCATATATATATATATATATATATAACATATGCATTAATACCCTTCTGCTTGGTGTGTGTATACATATACACACAGATTTTATTATGTAAGCCAATATTTTCACAAAATTAGTCTTAACCAATTGTTGCTAGCAATATTTTCAGGGTATACTTATATAATCAATACATTATGCGAGTTGTAGTTTAGAATAGCTCTCATCATTTAAAATAATGATAACTTATTTTGAGAGTATCAGGTATTTTATGTTGATCCCAGGGTTGTGATAGGATGCAAACAAATTAAGTGCAACATGAGTTTTTATTTATAAATAAATCCAAAAGATTCTATAATATATTCTATATATATATATATATATATATATATATATATATATATATATATATAGCAACATATATTTGATTAACATTATAAAGCTTCTTGGATGTTACACAACACTACTAAAATAAAAAAAAACAAAATTGTCTAATAATTCTAGTAATTCTTGTACTTATCTAAGTACCATCATCAACTTTGAAGAGATCTATAATTTTACAGTCTACTATCCCAAAACATTACACAAGCTCCATTCTGTTGTTTTGTCAGTCATGTTAGTTGACTATATCCACAAAGGACCTGAATTCTAGCCCAGCCATCAGGTCCATTCAATATAGCTCCATACTCATCACCAAGATATAGCTCCATATGCATCACTAAATTGAAAAATCAATTTTCATACATGTCCCAGATGACAGGTTTCTTTTTGTGATCTTTATTAAAAGATGGTAGGTTGGTTGTTTTCATGCTTTTAGCCAATGTTCTTAATATTCTGTATCCTTTCCATGTTTACATTTTCAACATTTTTTTCAAACATTTTTTATCTTTTTAATTTTTCTGAAATTTATTTTCATGAAACTCTTACAACCTATTGTTTCTTTTTCTGATCTTGCCATTGTTTTTAATTTTGATTGCAAAAATTTTGAAAGATTATAAAACAATTTCCACTATACGTTGTTTCATTTGAGGTTATATCTTTCATAAAACCCATAGCAATCTTTATATATGAAATTAAAAAGAAATATCAGTAACTATACTATTATATCTATTTATTTCTAATATGATAAACAATCCTCTAGTTGTATAATAAAATCTCATACCACCAAATAAGTTATTGTAAATATTTCTAATATAAAATATAAACTAAAATTCACATTATTTTTTTTATAAATTTAAGTTTATCTTCAAAATCCTACCAACATCTTTGTTTAATACTAATTATTTTATGAAATCATTAATTTGCATAATAAAATGACATAATGTACAGTTGTCATTGTGAATGAAAACACAAAGTTTTCACTTTTGTTTCTCATAAAAACAGAAATCCAGGTTATATTTGTGCTACTGTTAATACAAAACATATTTTCTTGTCATTCAATCCAGAACTTAGTCTCCATTGGTGACATTTATTTCCAGCAGATTTTATTTGGTTCAATTAAAACTGGCCAGATTGTCAAAGATTTAAATTAAACATATATTAGTCTAACAAGACTTTCTATATGCAGTGCCTCTTCAGAACACGAGCAATAATGGCACACAAATCTTCCTATTGTAGCCTTGAGCTGTTTTTCTACCTTTCCTAAGCAACCCTATCTTCCATTCACACAAGATTGTCAGATAAGTGGCTTACTGCCAATCTCCTATTTCTCTAACCCTCAATATGTCCTGTGAGGGTTAAGTTTTCCAAGCCCTCCTTCCTCATTAGGTGTCTAAGGAATTTCAGCTACCTCATCCTGATTCTGTTCTTTCCATTGCCATTTTCTTTAAAACTTATTGCTTACTTGCTCTGTTCATGAAATTCTCAGAATCTTTCTGCAGAATCACATTTCTGCTGCCTCCACTTCTCTCTTCATTTGTGGGGAGATTATCTGTCATCACTGTCATATAAGAGGATAGATATCACATAGTAATCCAACACTCTTTTCTAGCACAATTTTTCCATTTCTCAGTACTTTTAGTTTTTGCAATGCCTCTTTCACTAGTCCAATGCATGTTCAGAATTCAGGGTTGCATTTTCCATCCTCCGTTAAAACACTCCCCTGTTATTTAAACTTCTGTACTTGTTTGATATACAATTTGTAAATTGAACTTTTTCTCTTGCTGATGACCAATACTTTCTGTCTTCTTGTAGTTTTGGTAGTTGGTCCTTTTTTTCTCATTTTCATTTACTACCCTCCCTAGGAAGTCCTGTAATTTTTTTCCATGTCAGCCATCAACAAGATGTCATCTACATATCTTGCTAAGATTACACCCACTGATGATAAATCCTAGTAAGGTCTTCAGCTCCCTTAGGATAGCTTCACTGTAGGGATTGAATAAATCTGAAAAGATGCATCCTTGTCTTACACCTCTTTCTATGTTTTGTGTAGCTACTCAATTCATTTTCTATCCCTAAGCACATGTGGTATGCTCCCAGTATAAATTTTCCAAATAAAATCTAGTTTTTCTAGCAGTTCAAATAGATCTTTATACCATACCTTGTCAAATCTAATTGTGCTTTCACAAAAGTAATGATGAGATATCAATGCTCAAAGATAACCACAATTATCTAGTTAGAATTTGGATGTTTTTTTTTCTATTTTAA